CTTGCACCTGGGACTAGTGCTCAGTTAGCAGAGCTCATAGCTCTGACCAGAGCCCTACAACTTAGCAAAGGACAAAGGGTCAACATTTATACTGATTCAAGATATGCCTTTCTAGTATTACATGCTCATGCAGCTATAAGGAAAAGAGAGAAATTATCTAACTGCCAATGGATCTCCCATAAAATATCATAAGGAAATAGATGATCTTTTGTCATCTGTATATATGCCTTTCAAAGTGGCAGTAATTCACTGTCAAGGACACCAGAGGGGTACTGATGAAGTATCCCAAGGTAATCAACTAGCTGATATAGCAGCAAAAAAGGCTGCTTGAGAGCCCCCTCTTCAGGCTTCTCTGATCTGGGAAGGTCCCCTTGATCATATACGACCCAAGTATTCTCAGTCAGAAATAGAATGGGCTCTCTCACATGGGTAGCAGTTCCTTCCATCTGGATGGCTACAATCAAGTGATGGTAAGTTGTTCCTTCCTGGTGCTAGTCAATGGAAAATTATTAAGTCTTTGCACCAGACCTTTCATTTGGGGAGAGACAAGACCCAGCAGATGGCCTCAAAACTATTCATAGGAAAAGGACTTTCCCAGACAATAAAACAGATAAGTAAGACATGTAAGCTCTGTCAAAAAAACAATCCCCTTAATTGAGCTATAGTTCCTCCACATATACAGAGAAATGGTAAATATCCTGGGGAAGACTGGCAGCTTGATTTTACTCATATGCCAAAAAGTAAGGGGCTTCAATATTTATTGGTCTGGGTAGATACTTTCACAAACTGGGTTGAAGCCTTCCCTTGCAGAACAGAAAAGGCGCAAGAGGTGGTAAGAGTATTAATCTCAAAAATCATCCCAGATTTGGACTTGCAAAGAGCTTACAGAGTGATAATGGACCTTCCTTTAAAACAAAGGTCACACAAAATGTCTCTCAAGCATTGGGTATTCACTATCATCTCCATTGTGCATGGAGGCCACAATCATCAGGAAAGGTAGAAAAAGTAAATGAAATCCTAAAGAGACATCTTTGTAAAATGGCTCAGGAGACCCATCTGCAGTGGCCTCACTTATTGCCTTTAGCTCTGATTAAATTAAGGAATACACCTCAAATCTTAGGTCTCAGTCCTTTTGAAATGCTTTATGGACGTCCTTTTCTCACTAACGATTTTCTCTTTGATAAAGAAACAGATGACTTACTGAGAGATATCACCTCATTGGCTAAATTTCAACAAACTCTTCAACAGCTCACAGAAGCTCAGCCTAATGAAAAGGAAGTCCCATATTTCACCCTGGAGATTTAGTACTGGTAAAGTCCCTTCCCTCGTCTTCTCCTTCC